AAAATTTAAAATATAGACTTGATTTAGTTATTGGACACATTTTATATTTGCGATAACTTGGACGTGTGAATCTTTTTCAACAGTGAATTTTGTGATATCTAAATACACATAAGATATTTCTGGTGAAAACTTAGTGACTGAATTGAGATGTGCTCTAAAAGTAAAATATATACTGGATTTTAAAGACCTAGTATGAAAATACAGTGTTAATATCTCACTACCAATTTTTACATTAACATATTGAAATGATAATAACTTGGGTATATTGAATTAAATAAAATATAGTATTAAAATTAATTGTATCTATTTCATTTTGATTTTTAATGTGGCTGCTGGAAAGTTTGAAATTACATATATGACTTGAATTCTATTTTTACTGGGCAGGGCCGCTTCAGATTACTCTGGGCGGCAGCGTCTCCCAGCGCCAGACAGTCATCGGCTCCTAACTGTGTCAGGGGCTCCCCAGAGAAGATTTCTCTGAACAGCACTGCTACTTCTGCCCGTATCTGCATTGCAGAGAGGGCAACTAGAGTGAGAAGCTCCAGCACCCAACTCCCGATTCCCAACCCAATAAGCTGCTGGTGGAAGATGACAGAGAGGAGAGGGAGGGCTGTGCCCCAGGAACCCTTCTGGAACATTATAAACTGGAGTGGGGAAGTTGCCGGGATGCTAATTAAGTTGTGTGTGCATGGGGGGTGGGGATGTTGGAGGCTCAGGGATACCCATTTCTCAAGAATGTCGGTTTCTCCAGCCTCACTGCTGGGTTCTCACGTTCACCTCCGGCCCCACCCCCACATTCCCGTCTCTGCCCCACTGAAGAGCTTGCCTGACTGTGATCCAGCTTTGCCTCCTCCGTGGTGCTGGCTCCTCTCGCCTACCGGGGACAGTTTGAGCTGGGAATCTTCTAAAGAGTGTCTCCTCACAAGGGCAACGGCAGCAGCAGGAATCAGCTGGAGAGCTCATGATGCTTGCGTATGCTTTGGTGTAGGGGTGGGTGGGAGTCCAGAGATTGGAGGGAAACTAAGGACACTGGGCAGACGCTGTTGCAGAGAGAGGCTCCCCAGGGCCACATGATCCCCACTTCTCATGTCTCCTCCCACTACCCTCCTTCCCCATCATTCATCCCCTCCAAGATGCTGGGGCTGTCGCCCTGTCCCTCGAGCTCCTGGCATCCGCATCCCTTTGCGCTCTGTTTCGCCCTCTTTTTGAAGCACACTTGGTGGTAGTCAGCAGTTCCGCCTCCCACTGCACCTCCCCATCTGGGGTCTCGGTAAGTATAAGTCAGTGACCTCTCTCCAGGGACAGCTTCCCACTGGGGCTGCACTAAGCACAGAGCAAGGGGAAGCCGCAGAGGGGTGGTGGACACGAACCAGGCAGGCAGTTACGCCCCCTGCCCTCGGGTTCTCACTGCAGCTTGCAGCGCCCTCCTCCCTGCTTCCTCCAAGCCTAGTCCCTACTGTGTCTTGGGCCTTTCTCCCTCGACAACTGCAGATTCTTGCTTTTGTTCCACATTCTCTGGGAGTTCCTTTCTGGTTTACCCCCAAGGGCACTAGGGGTCTGTGACACTGGAATGGTAGGGAGAGCCTGTTGCAGAAATGGGAGAGAGGGCAGAAGCTGGGTGTCCTAGTTTGGAATCCCCGCATAGGGATCCCCTGGAATGTGGAGGGTCTCTCCTGCTCCAGAGATGGACATTGAAACTGGGGCTGGGAGTGCTGTTCTCTGCAGGCACGGTGGGCCTCCTTACCCTGTTGGCCAGGCCAGGTTAGATGGGGGCAAGGCCTCTGGGATACATGGTCAATGGGCAGCAGAAAGGGTAGGAAAGCAGAAATAAGGGGAGGACATAGACTGAAGTAAAGAAAACTCCAGAGACCATGTTTAGGTTTGGCTGCTGCTGTTGTGGCCTTCTGGCAGCAGGTTTAATGGTCTGACGGACAGAGGAAGGTGGTGGAGGCTCATGCAGACACAGGACCAGTGTGTGGTCTGTCCCCATCCTCTTCTCCATAGCCTCAGAACCCTGGGCTCTAGTTCCTGGAGCCTAGGGGCAAGGGTGGGGGTGGGGGTGGGAAACAAAAAAGAAAGGGAGACTGCCTGGTTGAGGAATAGAGACTCCAGGAAGCAAATGGCACTTCCCAGCCCCACGTCTGAAATGATCTTGTAGCTGTGGTTGGCAAGTGATATTGGTTATTAAAAGATGTAAGTGTGTGTGAAGAAAGCCCAGTGGTTACACTAGCAGACTGGAGCCTTGGTTATGTTTCTTGCTTTGTGTGTGTGGAAGGGGTAGGGGACCAAGGAGGGCTGCACTGACCACATGGTCTGTACCTGCAGCTCCCTGGGACCTTGGGAGAAGAGAGGATGGATGGGAAAAGCTCAGGGAGGCAGACTCTAGCAGAGGCATCGCTAGTTTCTGGCGCAGTGCAGGCAGGGGATGTGGAGACGTTTGCTGCTTGGGACTAGGTTCTGGTCCAAGTAGCCTTGGTTCTGTTTCTGCCTCTGGAGCTGACTTGGGTGGGTCACCAGCGTGGAAGGAAAGGTCAGAAGAGCTTGGCAGTGACCCGGTTACCCCCAGAGTTTTTATCCCCAGAGGGCCGAGGTGCCACAAAGTCGAAGGTCATGTGATGTTTGACCCGGCCCTTGCCCTTGCTCCAGAGGGCAATCAGGCCAAAGCAGAGGGTCACTGAGGTGAGGAAGGGGAGGAAGCCGACAGCCAGCACCATAGCCAGGCCTCTGCTATCCAGAAAGAAGGGCCCAGGGATCCCTGGCATGGTGATGTTGAGGTCGGAGAGGGTGCCATTTCGTGGTTCAACTTGGATTACTTCCAGCCAGGTCCTCAGGGAGTCATTTCCAGCCACGTTGCTGACCACACAGACATAGGCCCCTCTGTCCCGCAGCTGCACGGAGCGAATCTCCAGTGTCCCATCCTCTAGGACCCTTACTCTCCCAGCCCTTCCCAGCCAAGCCCCCTGAGGCCTCATCCAGGAGACAGTGGGGGCTGGGTCTCCATCTCCAGAGCAGGAGAAAACAGCACGCCCCCCCTCCTCTGCAATGACCCATCGAGGCCCCGACTTTCGGATCAGGGCTGGTTTGCAAGTGAAGTGCCCTGGAGGTAGGATGTCTGAAAACTCCCTCAGGCTCTTCCCCTGGACATGCTGGGGGCCAGCACAGGCAGGGGGGGATGTGCCAAAGTCCAGGTGGTGGCGGAGCCGGAGCAGCCAGAGGAGGCGGCAGTCACAGGTTAGGGGGTTGCCGGACAGCCTCAGGGTGGCCAGTTTGTTTGGAGAAGGGAAGGCTGTTTCCTCTAGTGTCTGAAGGGCATTGTCTGCCACATCCAGGAGGTGGAAGGCAGTCAAGCCGTGGAAGGCCTGGGCAGCGATGGAGGTGAGGCACGCCCCTGACAGTCGTAGCTCCTGGAGTCGCACCAGGGGGCTGAGTCTTCGGGCTGGAATGGCTGAGATGGGGTTCTGAGAGAGATCCAGGACTCTGAGGAAGCTCAGGTGGTGCAGTGCTTGGAAGGGCACTGAGCTCAGGTTGCATCGGGTGATGGCCAGGCTGCTGAGATTGAGCCCAAGCAGGCTCCCGGGGTCCAGAGCCTCCAGAGATGGCCAGTGGTGGATCTCCAGCTCCTTCAGCTGCCCCAGCCCCCGCAGTGCCCCAGCTGGCAGCCTCCCGATATCCAGCTCTCGAAGCCTAAGGGCCACTAGTGCCGGGAGTCGGGCGAGGGCCAGGCCAGGCACTGTGCTGAGGTTGCAGCGCTCCAGGGTGAGGGTGCTCAGCTTGGCCAGCCCTGCAAAGGCTCCTGGAGCCACAAACACCAGGTGGTTGTCCCCAACTTCCAGCTGCTGGAGGCTGCCTAGCTCCCCAAAAGCTCCATCTAGGAAGAGGACAATCTGGTTGAGGCGGAGGTCCAGCAGCTTGAGGGAAGACAGGCCTGAGAAGACCCCGGGCCCCATGATTCTGAGCCGATTGCCCTGCAGCCTCAGGGTGAGTAGGCTTTGCAGGCCATGGAAGGCCCCGGGCTCCAGAGTGGAGAGCTGGTTGTAGCTGAGGTCCAGTTCCTGGAGCAGGCCCAGGCGGGAGAGCATTCCCCGCTGAAGCCCCCACAGGTGGTTCCCACTCAGGTCCAGGAGCTCAGTGTCCAGCGGGAGCCCCCCAGGTACAGCCTCCAGTCGCCTGTGAGCACAGAGCACTGCCCGGGGCTGGGAGGTACAGTCACACACAGCAGGGCAGCTGCCACTGCCCCCTCCAGGCAGGAGGAGCAGGAAAAGGAGGGGACACCACGGGGTCCAGGCCTGCTTTGGAGCTGTGGCCACATCCATTCCCTCTTTAATCCTGGAATAGATGATGACATGGCCCTTTTTGGAAAGTGCTTCAGATGATGATGACCCTGAGCTTCCCTGGCCTTCCTTACGGGGGAGAGAAATTGGTCTGTCTCAGCATTTCCAGCAAGTAGGGCAGGAAGAATTCTGATGCACCACCTTCCTGCGGCTTCCTGGGACTCCTCTTTGGGGAATCTCTACTTTCTTCCTCCTCCCAGCCCTGCCTAACTGGCTAAGTGCCTACTAGCTCATGGAACCCTAGTTGAGCCTGATTTCTGCAGGGAAAGTTTTAAGGGAATGGGACAGGGAACAGGAAGGAAGTAACTTTGAGTCTCCTTGTAATGGTTTTTTCCCTGCCTGTGAGATCCAGGAATATCCCAGGTCCCCTCTCCCTGACATCTTCTCACCCCAAGCTCTGCTCTCTTCCTCTCTGCCCACCCTTGTTCTCCCATTTTATGTACCCATAGCTTTGCCTAAGGCTCAGGGAGATCACATCCTTGGCCCAGAGATCCCTGTCCTGATTGGAGAGAGGTCTTCACCTGGACTAAGTCACCAAGGCTGGGAAGCATACAGGGCTCAGCTCTGCCCCCACTCTCTGCCCTCCTTTAGCCTGGCCCAGGGCCGGAGCCCTGGACTAGCAAGTTCCAATCTCCCCGGAATGCTTGTGTGGACGACAGCCAGGCTGCACATTAGCCGTGGCCGGCATGCAGGGGGCACTCAGCTGGGAAGCCAAGAATGCCCCATACGAGCCAAAGGGCCACTGCTGCTCACCTACAGATGAAGTTGGGGTGTATGCGGTACCCAGACAATGCCCAAGTTCTGAGTTCTGTTGCTTGGTGCTCAGTCTTAGGCTTCTCTTATATCCCTCCGTATGTTTTTTGTTTCTAGTCCAGTGTGTGACTCCGAGGGAGAGTTCCTGTCCCCTTTGGCCTGAGCTGCCTGAGTAATGCTCAAGGGACAGATTGTGAACCAGGGAGGTGTAGGTAAGTGAGGAGAGAGCGTGTCTGAGTAGACACTGTGGGGTGGGGAGGAAGGGAGCCCTTGGCTGGCACAGCAGGTGTCTGGGCACAGGCAGTGTACAGAGCCTGTCGACTTAAAGTAGGTTTCTGGGTGCCAGGTCTGGGCAGTGTCAGGAAGAAGGTGACTACAGTGACCATGGGAGGCTGGCTGAGCTGATAGAAAAGAAGGGGTCCTCTAGGTGGTGACAGCCCATTGACTCACCCTGCTCAATGCCAATAGGGACCCCAAGGGAGAGGAAGTATTGGAATTGGCAAAGAATGGCCAAAGAGACAGGAGCAAGGGTCCACAGATGCTCCCCGGAGGGCAGCATGCCTGGTTTCCTCTGAGCTGCAGTGGTCACCTTTGGCTTTCGGGCTTCAGCCTCTCTGAGCCCTACGGGGGCAGCTTTCTCCTACTTGCCCTATTTTTTTCCATGTGGAACTTAGGAGAGGCAGTTTAAGAGATGGTGATTTCTCCCCTCTTTCTTCCCACTCTACATACACCCTTCTCTAGAAGGAGCATGCTAATGGCAGTCTTATAGACACTTCAGAGGATTGTAGTAGTTGGGAAAGTAAAGAAAGAGGCCACGAGAGCAGACGGATGCAGGAAACTGGTCTGAGGCTCGGGGATGAGGAAGAATAACATGGGGCAAAGCCTGCTGGCCAGACTCTTGCCCTTTCCCTGACCTAACAGGTATCCGTGGCTCTTCCATGTTCTTCAGGAAGAGACATGTCCCAGCCCCCCTCATTCTCCCTGTGCCTGTTCTGGGAAGTCCACCTGACAGCTAGCTCTCCATCACTGCTGCTGCAGTTCCTGCTCATCCTTTTGCTCTGCATTCGGCACAAGTGCAATGAAGCGTGTAAGCCAGCTTTCTTCCCTCCCGCTCCTGTGAGTTTCCTCTTAGTCCCCAAAGCCTGCTGGGTCGGGGGCTCTGGGGCTAACCCCTTTTATTTATGCGGTGCCTAACAGTCACAAACTTCCCTTGCCAACCCTCACACCTATAGGACTGGCCTCTGGCCACTTTGCAGGAAGAGACAGGTGTGAGAACCACTTCTTTCTCTCCTTGGGGGGGGGGGTGGGATCTGGGACACCATTCCCTCAAGGATGAGGAGCTCTCTTTTTGTCTCTATGTGGCAGTCCAGGGACACATTTGAACACGGATATTCTCTTTAAAGCACATCTGATTGAGGGATGGGACCTGCGTGCGGAGGGCACTCCCGCAGGAGAGATTTCTTGAATATCCACACTGATTGTGGGGAAAAACCCTTCCCAGAGGTAGAGGGGAGACTGGGCAGATGGAGGAAGGTCTCCTTAGAGTCCTTCCTCTCAGGGGCACCTGGACATTTTAGTTTCCCCATCAAAGTCCTGTGGGGTGAAGATTAATAGTTGGCCAGGGTGGGGATAAGGGCACAAACCCTCTTGCCTGGATAGGTGCACTGGACTGGCCTTGTCGCTGAGAATATTATGGGAAAGGCAGCTGCAGTTTGGGGACAGAAGGTAGGGGCACTTACCGGAGAAGCTGGCGGGTGACATCAAGTTTGGCACTGCATCTGTCCAGGGCTGGGGGCCCTGTCCCATTCGAGCTGCCCCTCGGGCCCCTGCACCTCCCCCGTGTGCCTCACTCCCCACTCCTGCCGCCTGCCCAGCTGCTGCCGCCACCGCTGCTGCTGCTGCTGCTGGTGCTGCTGCGGCCGCTGCTGCCAAGACTGAGGTAGAGAAAAGAGCCAGAAAGCATTTCTCCTTTTTCCTCTCTCTCTCTCTCTCTCTCTCTCTCTCTTTTTAAACCAGGCGAGAATGAGTCTGCCGCAACCCTGTTGGTGCAAAATAAATAAATAAAGCAACCTGGGAGGGCTGCAGCAGGCACCACTACAGGCTGGCGAGTGAGGGGGAGGGGACCAGAGGGGACTCTGGTGCCAAGGAGGGGTCTAACGGATCTGACATCCTACCCACCCCCCCATTCCCCCCCACCCCCTAGGAGCTCCGGTCAACCGCCTTCCAGAAGATTGTCTTTTGGGCTCCCAGATGCAGGGCAATTCTGTGCAACCTCTAAATCTAAACGTCCCCTGTGGGAATCATTCATGGGACGGTTCTTGGTGCAGAACACAACACCCCCTGTGGAGCTTAGTTTGAGGCTCCTTGGGTGAGGGTTCCTGAGGATCCATTCACAAGCCTCACTGGGGAGTGCTTGGCCTGCAAAGAACTAATGGCAGCTGGAATCTGTGTAACACTGAGCTGAAACCTGGTCTCCACCCAGGCGCAAGACCAGAGATCTTATTTAAGGCTCCCTCACTCCCCAACACACACACACACACCTCTTGCCTTTAAAATCATTTTATAAAGAATGGCACAACTTGGGGTTTATGTTTACTCAGCTAAACCCCTGCCCTGAGAGGAAAAAATACCGTCCTTCCCTCCCTCTCATCATCGTTTATCCCTCAGAGGAGGGTTCACAGCTGCTGATAAAGCCAAGAAGTTCTGGGTGAGATCACAGCTGCCCGCTCCCTGGCCGCCTCTTCCCCACCGGAGCCCATGTGCCCAGTCGCTGGGTGTGCGCGTGCACCTGCCTCCCTTCTCTCCAACAAGGCCAGGGCTGGAAGGCAAGCCAGGAAATCCTCTCAGGATCTGTCCTTGGCTTTCTGACTGACCAGTGTCCAGCCATCCCTGCTTCTCTTGGGGCTTCTTGTGGTCAAAGACAGCTGCAGCTGGGATGGAGTTGGGACCACCACGAGTCTCAGACTGGTGGACTGAAGCACCATGGAAATGTTCTGGGGTCCCTCAGGATTGGGACTCTTCCCTGAGGCCACTAGGCTCCTCTGAGCTGTGACCCCCAAGGATGAGAGAGATTGTGTCAGATTAAACGTGTCCATAGAACTGCGTAATTGCAGGTTGAGTCTATATGTGTTTCACCTGTATGTGGATGTGTGTCTCTCATCAGATTTTACTAGCTCCTAAAGTCTATTTTTAAAGTGCACATAAGAGGTTTGAGTTCTAACTCTGTATCTGTCTGGGATGCTCTTGGCCTTCATTGTACCCTATTCCCACACCCAAATTCCATAAAACAATTATCTCTGGCCCCTCACCCCCATCCTGTCCAGTTTGTTTTAGAACCCAGGAAAAGGGCAGCGTGCCCAGCTGCTTCCTTGCTGAGCTGGGAGAAAGGGGGAACGCAGAAAGTCTGAGGATCTGGATTCATGTTATGTACAGGTCATCTGGGCTCTAGCCGCCAGTCTCTGAGCTTGAGCCATCTTCCCCGCCGAAGCCCGGGGGGAATGCAATGAGGTATTTCAAAGGCCTATTCTTAGCTTCTGAGCCCAGAGTTGAGTTTTGTTCATCCAGGGTGGCCTGGGTTCCCCTGTTTTCTTGATGACAACTTGGTCCCCCTGGAGGTCCTTATATCCTACCCCCTACCCCATGCCTTCAAGAAGGTGAGGGTGAAGGAGGAAATGAGGCAGAACAAAGCTGAGGCTGGAGATGGTGTCATCACCACCCTCTGGCTATTGTCCCACTGTCAGGCAAGCCTGTGGGCAGAAAACCAGGATTTGAGGATTTGCTGTCTCCCAAAGAACTGGCGGGGATCACCCTCCTGGGTTCACGGGAAAGGTAGAGGCAGAGGGTAGGACACAGTCCAGGGAGGTGGGCCAGCAGGCTGTAGGGAGAGGAGTCCCTCCTCCACGTCACTTGGATAGCCCCTCAGGTGACTCGATGTCAGTGCTGAAGAGTTCCCGGTAGAGTGGGGGAAAAGCGGCTTGGACCACGATGGGGTGGAGGTGCTGGAACATCTGCAGCTTTTCCACGTGCTGGCTGCACAGGCTCCGAAGCTTCCCCTTGGGTGGCAGCTGGAGGTGGGATAATGGGGAAGGAAGGGTCAGCACTTCCCCTCTCTCCCCAGAGCAAAGCAGTCCTCTCATTCTTCCTGGGCTGGGATTAACCCTCCTTCCTCCCCTCCCCATACACTTGCACTTTTGGATCCGCCAAATCCAAAAGCGATGGTAGAAATATGTATGTTTCAGGACACTGGAGGTGACAGGAGCTGGGGTGGCACAGGTTGACTGTTTTCTGGGTGAAGCCCCCAAATCATGTTCCTGCTGCTGCTAAAAGGAACCTTGTTAAAGACTCACACACCTTATGCTTTTAGTATAGTGCACTTCCGTGACCCTCTCTGTTGTATGCTGTTGCATGCCTCTGTCTTTCCCTCATCTGGACTGCCTTTCCAGCTTTTCCTTGCTTAGCTAATTCTCACTCGCCTGCCAGTGTCACCTCTTCCAGGAATATTACCCTAACTCCCCCTGTCTGGACTAAGGGCCCTTCCTTTGGGCTTGCAGCACTTCCCATGCTGTGGGAAAACCATCCAATGTGTCTGCCTCCCCATCCAGACATAAGCTCTTTAAGTAGGGTTTCTCTCCCTGTTTGTACCTTCCGAACCCATCACAATGCTTGGCACATGGCAAACAGACTTTCTAAGCAGGTACCCGGTACTGCAAGTAGGAGCCAACACTGCTGGCACTCCGCCAAAGGAGGAATGAAAAAGGCACGGAAACCCACGAGGAGACAGAGGCAGGGAGACCTCACCGTAGAAAAGCTGAAAGGACCATTTATCTTCTGCAGTTTCCTACATAACCAAGTGAGGCTCACAAATGCCTCTCCCCAGCCCTCCCCTCCCGCACCCTGGCTTAGTCCCTCAGAAGTCAGGGAAGGGCAGGCAGTGGGACAAGCCCTCCTTATCTCCCGGATCCATTCTCTTCATCGCCATTGCTCTACTCTGCGGTTGTCTGGGCCACTGCAATGGCTTCATTCATTCATTCAGCAAATATTTGTTGAGAACCTCTCTGAATCTGGGCTAGGCACTGTGATGGGCTCTGGTGATATGTATCAGTGAATAAAATATAATTTCTACCTTTATTAAATTTACATTCCAGTGAGGGAGCCAGAAAATAAATATATAATATATCGTATAGTAAGTTCTTTATTTTTTATTTATTTATTTATTTTTTTATAACTTTGGGGCAATGGAAAGTAAATATAGTAAGTTCTTTAAAGAAAACTAAAGCAAGGGCAGGGGAGAGGGCTTTTTGTGTGGGGTAACTGGTTAGGGAGAACCTCTCCTGAACGAACGGATGGAGCAAACCATTTGGAAAAGCGGGAAAGAGCCTTCAGGTGACTGTACCAGCAGGCACAAAACCCTGAGATGCAACTGGGCTTGATGTGTCCAAGGAACAGCAAGGAAGCCAGTGTGGTTGGAATGGGTGGTTGAGGGGCCAGGGGATCATAGGCGAGGAAGAAGGCAGGTGTTGGCCATGACACAGACTCTAGATTTGATTCCCAGCAGGATAGGCAGCTATAGGAGGGTTGGGGACAGGAGTGGGACATGATGTGATTGCTTTTAAAAAGGGCCATTGTGGGTGCTGAGTAGGTGCTGTGTGACTGCCACGGGGCAGACAAGGATAGACCAGGGGTCCCTAGGAGGCCTCTTTCATAGTCCAAGTGTGAGCTGAGGGCTGGCGGGTAGCAGTGGGGGAGGGGATGTATTTTGAAAGTAGATCCAACCAGATTCACTTTCCAATTGCTCTCCCAAGTTCCAGTCTCTCCTCCTTCAAATCTACCCTGTAGTAGATTAAAGTTCAAGCTCTTTAGAGTTGAGACTGTTTAAGACAAGTCATTTGTGTACCCTTAACACTCAGCCCTGTGCCCAGCACATAGCAAAGGCCTGCTTGAATGATTACACACATGCTTCCTTTACACTGGCTCTGAAGCAAATTGCCTAAATAACAGGTCTGATTATATCATTTTTCTGGCCTTTGGGGCTCTCCATTATCTGCAAATAAAGCCTTAATTCTTATATGGCACTGAAAGTCCTCTCTGATCTGCCCCTGACCTAATTTTCAGGTTTATCTTCTGCTACTCGTCTGCCCCTTCAATCTATCCCAGCTCCTGATCTTACTCTTTAGCCAGAATGTATCATGAGCTGTTGTCCACATATGCACCATTTGCCTCCTTATTTTTTTGCTTGCATTGTATCCTAAGCCTGGAATGCCTGGCCCACCCCCATGAATGCCTATTAAAATCTTACATCTTTCATAGCCTAGTTTAAATGCCATCTTCTCTAAGAAGCATTCATGATCCATTCCTTTTACCTCCAAATTATTTTTAATCTCTGTTCAACACACAACATAACATTTCTGCAATATCTCTTATTAATATATTGGTGGGGTGGACAGTGATGTGGTAGAAAGAGCACTGCCATTAAATCTTGCATTTGTCACATAGAGAATCATACAAACAAGTCGCTGAAGTCTCCTTATTGTTTCAGGGAGATTTTAACACCTGTCCTATTGACTGGGCTGCCATGAGGCTGAGAGCACGTCAGTGAAGGCACTTTGTCAATCGCATTATTTTTATTATATCACATGCCACATCCTATTCTACATTAGAGTTATTGGTACACACAGCTCTCCTTCATGCCAAGTTAAGATCTCTTGGCGGGGCAACACCCGAGTCTCTGTATCTTTCCATAGTGCCTTGTATAAGCAGGTGCTGGGTAAGCGCTGGCTATATTAAACTGAATTGCTCCCTGGAGGGACCTCCCAATTGCAGGCTAACTTTCCAGTCTTTACGCTGCTCATTCCCTCAGTTCCCACCGCCGTTGCCAGCTCTCTTACATGACGTGGCCCTGTACCTGCAGACCCTGGCCCTCAGGAGCCCTGCTGTCCCAGATCTGGCACTGGGCCT